CGTGAGTAAAATTTGGGATCAATGCAAACTATAGCATTATACACTCAACTCTATCTTTGCCTCTAGAATTTTGTTTAGCATACGTCATTGTTTGTAGACGACAATAGCAATGGTGGTGATGTGTGCTTCATATAACACTCTATTCCTGAGGCGACTTTGATTATGAAAGGTCGGTATACACTCAACTACGGTTGGCATTTGTGTACCCATCTCCATCTTTGTTCATTACATCCGTCAGACGAGCAAGATTGAGGACACGAGTGAGGAGAGTTATGGGCAAATGATCATGATCTACTGGCCTGAGAAACTCTTCATTAATGTCCTTCCGTGCGTTCCCAACTTGCCTACGCAACTCATCATATGCTTGTTGCTCTGAAACTTCATGCTCCTTCATATAACGCTCTATTCCTAAGGCGACGTTGATTATTAAAGGTCATTATACACTCAACTACGGTTGGCTTATGGGTTGCCATCATGATTTACCTAGTATAGGAAAGGTCATTATGGCAATGGTTCCATTCCAATGAAAAATTAGCAAGGCAATAGCTTATGGGTTGCCATGATAAAAATTTAACTCCTCGCAATCTTCCCGCGCACTGCAACCTCTCTCAACAACCTCGACTAGACGAACAAAGCACATCCACAACATCATAAATCCCGTAATCGAACACCTGCAACACAAAATCCCAACAACACCACACCAATTCTTTCAACGCCTTCCACTTCGTCCATTTCTACCCAAGTATTTTAAAATATTTTATTTATTTATTTATTATTATTTTTTTTTGTCAATTGGTCAGGTCTAAACATAAAAAGGATGGCAGTAACAAAGGCTAAATAAGACACCCAATTGTTTGGTCATGAAACAATAGTGACGGGTTTGAAGTTCGAGTAATTACACTAAAGTAACTCAATTCGGAGAAATTTAGGATTACACCCAGCAAAAATAAAAAGCGAGGATGAACAAGAGAGAAGAGGGGGCTGAGCAGAAACGGTCTTAAAAAAAAAAAAAAAAAAAAATGAAGGGATCCTGGTTCGATCTGGTATATGGTGAGGGAGAGAGAAAATTAGGATTACACCCAAAAATAAATAAATAAATAAATAAAAAGCGAGGATGAACGAGAGAGAGAGAGGAGGGCTGAGTAAAAGCGGTCTTGATTTTAAAAAAAATGAAGGGATCCTGGTATGTGGTGAGGGAGAGAGACGAAATAGGGAAAAGACAAAGAAAAGAAAAGAAAGAAATGGCGTGACAGAACCAGAAAATGAGAGAAAAATTCTTGGAATTTATTATGAAACATTTGACCAAAAGTATAAGCTTTTGTCAAGTGGGGTTCATGGGCTTGGCTTGGTCTGCGGCGAAATAAAAAAAGAAAGGTGATTTGGGTTTGAATGGAGGCTGGGCCGCTAGTTAAGAATAAAAATTAAAAAAAAAAAAAAAAAAAAAAGAAGGCAAAGATTGGTTCACTATCTGCCTTTGCATTCCTCCATTTTTCATAAAAAAATAAAAATAAAAAGATGGATTTAATTCAGTCTCCAACCGGGAATGGAATATAATAAAAAATATATTGAGTTAGAAATTTAAGTTGTATGTATATTGTATTTAATTCGGATGTTTAGAGGGGTTTAATTATTTTAATCGTTTTATTTTTATTTGTATATTTTGTCTCGTTTGTATTTAACTTAATATTTATTTTAGTTTTGACTTTTATGCATGCATGCTATTAAAAATAAAATAATATAAAATAATAATAAATTTTCTCGGTGAAGTCTCCTCTTGGTAGGGATCGTCGTTTCGTGGCGAGGTCTCCTATCCGATAGGGACCTTCGTCACCAAAAATCATAATTTAATAATCGAGTGTCCTCCGATGCACCGGTTGTGTCAAAGCTTTAAGTGAATCCGATGTTTAAACCGACGTGTCGCCCGATGAAGGAGACCGACGATCGCTTCAATACGATGCCACGCTCAAAACTAAAAATCAAATTTTGCTAAAGTAATTGTTTAAAAATTAGAAAACAAATTGGCATAAATGAACAATATAGGAGATAAATTTAGGACTAGAACAAGATGTGGTACCTTTCTTCGGAAAGGCCACTTTTAGGGTGAATAATTATCTTCCTAAAAGTGTAACCAACTGCTTACCATAAAATCTCTAAACCGGTGTTATTTTTAGGTTCCTAGTTCCTTAATACTAGGTGGCGACTCCAAAGCTCGTAAATAAATCTGTAAATATTAATCACATTTAGAAATTTAATTTTGGGAGTCCCGTCCGACGTCGGGTAACGACAATTTCATTCATGATCTTGGAGCACTAATTACGGCTCAAATAGGGATTTATCCTAAATCTCAAAACATGTTATCTTATAGATAATACATACTAATTTAACCAAACATAAGAAATATATAACTTAACCAAACGTAAGAGATATTTCCACTACTTAAGTGTCATGAAAAAGTACCTTTATTTCTCATCAACCTCCAGTACACACACAATAGTTACATTTATTTTGCCCCGCTCTTTCAATTTTGATTTTGCAGCACTACTGGCTCAATGAGCAATGATGTAATGTAATTTTTCACTTGTCCATTGGCATTTGTGTACCCATCTCCATCCTTGTACATTACGTCCATCACACGTGCAAGATTGAGGACTCGAGTGAGTAGAGTTATGGGCAAATGATCATGATCTACTGGCCTCAGAAACTCTTCATTAATGTCCTTCCATGCATTCCCAACTTGCTTGCGAAACTCATCATATGCTTGTTGCTCTGAAACTTCATGCTGCTTCGTATAACACTCTATTCCTGAGGCAACATGACCTCTTTCTTGTTCAAACTGTAAAGGATTCAATAAAAATTAATTAGAGATCCCATGATTATTATGGCAAATTAAGTTAATTGAAAACAACATTGCAATTGGGATTCTCTCTATTTATTCGGTTCTTCAAATTAAAACAAAACAAAACTCATACCTTGTGAGATACGATGTCATCCATAAGCCTGCATATGATTGATGCAGCTCTAACAATCTTAGGATCATTGCATAGCCAATTAAAGGCTTCTTCTGTTACCATATCTCCCATCCCAACAAAACATGTGCATGTAAGCAAGTGATAGCCAGTGGAAATCAATGAGATCCGCATATACTCATCCATTGTTGGAATGTAATTATCATGGAACCATTTGGCTTCAACAAAATAGGCTTGGACTTGTTTCTTCATCTGAAACATACAAGAAGAATCACTGCTGTGACAAAATTGACTTGTACTTACATTTATTGAAAAATAATCCAGTAAAAATGTTATTAGAAACTATTAAAAGTTTGAGTTATTATGTAAGGTTTTACAAATAATTCTATATTGCTCTTTAACAAGCTTTTTTCAATGAAAGCCCTTAAAATTTGAAATTTATACATACCTACTACTATATTGTTAGAGAGTATATATATATATTAAAGTTTAGTTTTTGGATTGAAATGGTTTTTAATATAGTATCGGAGACTTGATGACCAAATAATTATAAGTTTGATTCTTTTTAATGGAAACATATTTTTCAATGGATTGAAAACAATTTCAATTGATCAATTATGCAGACTATTTCAGATTGCTTCTGAAATTTGAATATTTTTACAATGAATTTTTACAAGCTTTATTATTATTATTTTTTTTAAATAAAGGTAGCTAAAAATTATTAAACTCTGAGGTGGTTATCTTGACTGTCCTAAAAATTTTATCTCTGTTATTTAAGAAACAATTGTAGGTAGATAAAAATTATTAAACTTTGAGGCTTTTTTTGATCGCTTTAAAGATTTCGCCTCTATAATCTTCTTTTAGATATGTACGTATATACCGCTTCTTTTGCATATTGAACCCTGTATGATCTTCCTTGCTCAGTCATCTCTTTCTCAATTTCTTCATAAACGTCCAAGAGTGCTTTATAAAAGCGTTTCATGTATTCTGGGAGATGATTGATGCTGTTGATATCTGGCCACCTGAAGTTAAGATATTAATTAAAGGATTTCATATTTAGTTATATGTAATATTCAATTAAACTTCTTTTGATGAATGTTCTTAACACATATACTAGCTAGTTTTGTGAACCAAACCTCTCAATTGCATCTGTGAAGAGTTCAAGTTCTTCCATTGTACCATATACATCATATACATCATCCATAATTGATGTCATGGCAATTACTTTAGTCACAATCCTTCTGGCAGAGGAGTACTGGGGCTCAAAGAACACTCCCAATATCCAAAAGTAACCTTCTACTATTCTGTCCCTTGCAAATGGTAGCTTCTTTGAAAAGTCCAAATCTTTCCACCACCTAAATGACAATAAGAAAAATCACGTCTATTTTCAATAAATTAATTAAATTTCTGACACAAAAAGAAAAGAAAAGAAAAAAGCCAATAATAACTAATAGAGGCTTAATTAAGATGGTCACACAACTTACATTGATATGTCGGAAAGTTCTTTTCGGTGCATATTTTGTAGTATGTTGAAATTTAATTTTGCAAATTGTAGGAGAGATTCACTGTATGAAGCTTCTTGCTCATAAATAGAAATGTAATGCTTTGCCTCTACCCATGGTAGGCCCTTGCGGATGGGTCGATTCAAGGCATGTCTTACTTGCAGCAAAAGTGAAGGGCTGATCATATCTGTTGCCATTATTGATTTGAGATGAGTGGTAGCAAAGATAAGTGCTTCCTCTAGTATATCTTCTCCGTGAACCCTGAGATGTGTAGCTTCATACAAGCTTAGCATTCCTTGAATATCATTAGTTAGGCAACTCTTGAAGTTACCTTGAGCATCCTTGAACTTCTTGAACACATATGTACACATGTACCAATTAAATGGTCAGTACATTTCATCATTTCATACCTCATTTGGGAAAAAATGAAAAAAGAAAGGAAATTAAGAAATAAACTAGGTAGAAGTGGAATGTACTTACCACTTGAAATATTATGTCCTTGCTGTCTAAGCAATCGAAATCGGAGAGCGACCATTTGAAGGTCATGAACATCTATGTCTTGATCATCACTTCGATCATAAAATTGATGCAACATTTCATCGATCTCACTTTCAAAATGATAAGCCACTCCCAAACGTTGGATTAGATCAATAAACTTCAGCTGATTTGAAAGGTTGTTGGGAGTGGCAAATAGCATTTTATTCACCTTTTCTTTGAGACTCAAAAGTTCTTGCTCTAAATGATCATCAATCTGAAAAGCAAGTAATTTTCCTTAAGTTTGATAATACTAGTTTGCTTCGGTTATGATGGCATTTTGATATTAATAAGAGAGTTGATAAATAAGAGGGAATTTATCCACATATTTACTATAATATGTACCGTGGAAGAATAGCAAACAAAACAATCACCCCAAATGCTCCGATGGAAATTTGCAGAGCGACGAGTAACATCTGGTACGGCATTTTGGGTTGAGCTCGGAACAGCTGAAACCGGAGAAGACATATCTATTCTCTACCCAATATGCTGACTGCCACGAAGATACAATACAATAACAAGATCACAAAAGTGTAGTGCAATTGGTTTAATGCCTTCCACTACTTTCAAGAGGATAATGTGAGTCTAAGTGTTTCCACCTTTGGTATTTATAGAGAAATATTGCATATGTCAAAATTTATATACAAAAATTAATTGAAATTTTAGTTAATTTTATTATCTATTATTATTATTATTATTTTTTAACATGAAATCAAATTACAAAATAGGCGTCGAAGGGCATAAAGTTTTGACAGCATAAGAAGGGACACAGATATTATATCAAGGTTGAAATACATGTGAGAAATTGGTTTCGTAGGCTCGAAATATATATCATGCAAGTGATGCTAAATATTAAAAAAAAAAAAAAATTGATAACTGCAATCAGATTTTAAGTCAAAAAAAAAAAAAAAAAAAGAGAGAGAAAATTTCAAAAATATATATACATGAATCATTAGGTTAGATATACTCATCATTAGATTTTATATTCAAATTACGAGTCAATGTCTCCCACTCTTATCAAAGTTTTTTTTTTCTTGTTTTTTTATTTATTTAATAATTTCTTATAAACTGACTATAGAATTACAAGAATTTGGGGCCATAAATGGAACATGTAAGTTGGGAGAAACAAAATGATGGATGAAACATCATCCATCATGGACCCAGCAATTATTAAAAGGCATGGGCCCTTCTTTGCTGTGACCAGAGTTCACTCTCTGAGGGCACCATTAAGATGAAATGTATTGACGTGTGTGGTGACTATTTGGTCTGTACGAGCTTCCTGGGACAACCAATTAGGTCTTTATTCTTTTCATTGCAAAATTACGAACTTTCTTTATGTTGCTGGAACTCTGTAAACTGTCAGGGATCTTCGATGATATTAGTCACAATCATAAGAGATTGTACAAATCAACTGTGCTTCCTTCTTTGTTTACACTACCAAAAAAAATATTTTAGTGACAAAATTTAGTGACCGAATCCATTCCATCACTAATTAGCAATGAATTAGTGATGGATTAAGAAAAAATATTTTTTTATGACGGTTTTATGACGAAAGATTAACGACGAAACAAATCTGTCGCTAAAACAAAGTCAGCGACAAATATTCGATCGCTAAATATAAAATTAGCGATCGAATTAATTTCATTGCTAAAACAAATCCGTTCCGTCGCTAAAAGGAGGGAAATTTCCCCCAAATAGCAACGGATCGCCCGGTCTGTCGCTATTTGGGGGGAATTCCCCCTCAAATTGCAAAAAGGGGGAAATTTCTCCCTTTTTTCCCCCTGTTAGCGTTCCTTATATATACCCCCTCCTTTCCTTTCTTCATTTGTTTCTCTCACCTACACTACACCTCCTTTTTCGACGCCGACCAAAAAAAGGCCACTCGAGCCGGCTCACGCAAATAAATTTTTTCCCACAGCATTTAAGAAAGTAAGGGTTATCTTTCGTCTTCAAAATCGGATCGGATCCGTGTTATATAAACTTCATTTGTCGGGTAAAACTCTCTCTCAATTTTTTTTTTTTTAAGTTAGATGAATGTTATATATTTTAATTAAATTTTGTTGTTTATAAGTTTATTAATTATTTGAATATTGCTAATTATTTTGTTTAATTAGTATCGGATCCGTGTTATATAAACTTCATTTGCCGAGTAAAACTTGCTCTCTCAAAATTTTATTTTTTAAAAAGTTAGATGAATGTTATATATTTTAATTAAATTTTATTCTTTATTAGTTTATTAATTATTTGAAAGTTGCTAATTATCTTGTTTTGTTAATTGATATATAGTAGTTTTAATTTGTTAGTTGTTATTTTATTTTGATAACTGTTAGATTTATTTTGCTAAGTTTTAGTTTGTTGTTATTTTGATAATTAGTTGTTATTTTAGTTTATGTTGCTAAGTTTTATTTTTCTAATTATCATGTTTTGTTAATTTTTATGTTAACGTAAATCTTAAAGATATAAATTTTTTAATTTTCTATTGTTAGATGAAAATTTAATTTTCTAACCTTAAATTATTAGTATGATTAATTGATTTAATTATTTATTTAATTATTTTTAATTGTTATAGTTTAATTTGATGAGTTGTTTGTTTAGATATAATTTGGAAATTATATTACTTTTTAATGTAGTTTAACAAATTCGAGTATAACTTTTATAAGTAATTTTATTACTTTAATTAATAAAATTAAAATAATATCACATGTATAATGATTTGATTGTATCGAAAAACAATTAAAATATATAATTAAAAAATTAAAGTAAAGATTAAAAATTTATAAATAATTTATTAATTAATAAAATTAAATAAATATTTTATTGAATATTTTTAAAAATTATGTAGGTGATAATGTAAATTAATGTTTTTTTACTTGTTAAAATCTAAATTGTTTTATATTTTAGGTGAAAATGATAATATAATTACTAAAATTACTTTAAAAATGTTAAAATTATATAAATATATAGATAATTAATAGAATTAAATAAATATTTTAGTTGAATGTTTTCATAAATTATTTAGTTCATTGGTAATTTAACATATTTTAACATAAAACAAGTATAGAATTTTATGTATTTTAAGAAAAAAATGATAATGTAATTCTCATAAATTACCTAAGGTAGTGTAAATTAGGTTATTTGTTTTGTTTAGTTTAAGTTAATGTTATAACATATAGCACTTAAGATTGAAAATTTAAAAAAAGAAACAAAAAGTTATTGAATATTAAGAAATTAAGTAGTTATTTAAAAAATATAAGCATTCCTTATATATTTGTTTAAATAGGAAGTAAAATTCAAAAACAAAATTAATAACTAAATGAATATAATTATATAACTAATATAATTGTTTAATATTTATTTAAAATAATTCGGAATGATAAGAAGTAATTGTCTACAATGATTATGTTATTTTTTGCGGTAATGTGAAAAATGAGACTCGATCGACAATGGATGAATTTTAAGTTAGTAAATGGATTGTTAAATGATGAATTCGTCAAAGGTGTAAAGCAATTTTTAGCTTTTCGTTGTTGAGCATTCCGAATGTATGGATGGAAGCAAAATTAGGTGTCCTTGTAATTTCAATAAGTGTCAAAACCGACATTATAAAGAGATTGAAATGATCAAATATCATTTGTGTCGTAAAGGTTTTGTCCCGGGATATTATAATTGGATGCATCATGGTGAATTTAAAGACTATATGACATCCGAAACTTCTAGGAGTCGGCATGTTTCGGAAATTATTATATAGGCGAAGGTAGTTTTAGTGAGCCCCAAAACCCATATCAAAGTATGGTAATGGATGCAGTCGATCCATCTTTTAATCCGTCCAACCCGGAGGAGATTCCTAATCCTAGCGCTCAACACTTTTATGATATATTGAATGCATTACGTAGAGCGATTTGTCTCGGTTGTGATAAGCATTCGTAATTGTTAGCAGTTGCTCGAATGCTTAACCTAAAAGCCGACTATCATTTTCCAAAAAAGTGTTTCGATCGGTTATGTGAGTCGATGAAGGAGTTGATGCCGATTGATAAGCGTGTGACATAAAACTTTTATGAAACAAAGAAGTTGGTGAATGGGATGGGTTTACCAATTGAAAAAATTCATTGTTGTCATAACGGGTGCATGATTTATTGAAAGAAAGATAATGAATTAGATAAATATAAATTTTATCAACATCCTCAATATCAAAGTTCTCATTGAGGATCGGGAAGAGGAAAACTTGTTCCAAATAAGAAAATATACTACTTTCCTCTAACTCCACGTCCGCAACGATTGTATGTATCGAATGCAACAGCTGCGCACATGACGTGGCATGCTCGAACATCGAGGAGATGATGTAGGAGTAATGCATCATCCTTCGATTCAATTGCATGGTAGAGTTTTAATCGGATTCATCTTTCTTTTACGAGTTGAAATAAGGAAATCCACTTAGGAGTGTGCATCGATGGGTTTCAACCATTTGGTCAATTTGGTGCATAATATTCCTCGTGGTCGGTCATTGTGACTCCATATAATTTGCCACCATGGATGTGTATAAAGGAGGAATATATGTTCCTAACGAGTGATTGTTCCGGGTCTAACAAATCCAAAACATAAGTTGGACGTTTACTTGTAGCCTTTCATATCCGAACTTATCCATTTATGGGAGGTAAGTGTATTGACCTACGATGTGTCTTGTAAGCGAATTTCTTATTGAGAGTCTGCAGTTATATGGACTATCGGTGACTTTCCCGCTTATTCAATGCTTTATGGGTGAAGTACTGGAGGAAAACAAGCTTGTACTTACCGTATGAAAAATTCATATGCTTTCTCTTTTCCAAATGGAAGGAAGACCTCCCGGTTCGACAACCATAGAAAGTTTCTTCATCATAATCATCCGTATAGAAGAAACAAGAAAGCATTCATCACCAACAAAGTTGTTAAACCTAGTCCTCCTCCAATCCGATCCGGAACATAGATGTTACATCTAATCGAGCGATGGGGGTTATTAAAGGTGACGGAAGATGGTACGAGATGATCATAATAGTAGAATCTCTAAGATGTGTGGATGGAGAAAGCGAGTATTTTTTAGGATTTGCCTTACTTGGAGTACAAATATCATCCGATATAATTTAGATGTCATGCATATTGAAAAAAATGTTTTTGATAATATTTTTAACATAATCATGAATGTGTCGAGGAAAACTAAAGATAATGCCAACTCTAGGGAAGATTTAA